TCCTCCTCCTCCTCATCCTCATCCTCATCCTCATCCTCATCCTCATCCTCATCCTCCTCATCCTCCTCCTCATCCTCATCCTCATCCTCCTCCTCCTCATCCTCCTCCTCCTCCTCCTCCTCCCTGCAGATCTTCATGTTCCAGCTGCTCCGTGGCCTGGCTTATTGCCACGGCAGGAAAATCCTGCACCGAGACCTCAAACCCCAGAACCTGCTCATCAACGAGCGAGGGGAGCTCAAGCTGGCTGATTTTGGTGGGTGCAGCCCCTGCAGGATGCAGGAATCGGGGATGGGGGAAAAAGGGGGCAGCTCCTTGATGAGCCTCCCTTCCTCCCTCAGGACTGGCCAGAGCCAAGTCGGTCCCCACAAAAACCTATTCCAACGAGGTGGTGACGCTCTGGTACCGGCCCCCCGATGTCCTGCTGGGATCCACCGAGTATTCCACGCCCATCGACATGTGGTGAGGCACGGAGCTGCCCGGGAGCTGCCCCAGATCTGCCCCGGAGCTGTCCCGGATCTGTCCCGGAGCTGTCCCGGAGCTGCCCGAGAGCTTCCCCGGGAGATGCCCCAGATCTGCCCCAGATCTGCCCCAGATCTGTCCCAGATCTGCCCCGGAGCTGTCCCAGATCTGCCCCGGAGCTGTCCCGGAGCTGTCCCAGATCTGTCCCGGAGCTGTCCCGGAGCTGCCCGGGAAATGCCCCAGATCTGCCCCAGATCTGCCCCAGATCTGCCCCAGATCTGTCCCGGAGCTGCCCCGGAGCTGCCCCAGAGCTTCCCGGGCTCTCCAAGACAGGATCGGGCATTTCCATCCTCATCCTCACGGTGCTGGGTACACCAGAGAATTTGGGGCTCTCCCAGAGCATTTTCCCTGTCCCCAGGGCTCTCCCAATCCAGGTTCCCTGTCCCCAGAGCATTTTCCCTGTCCCCAGGGCTCTCCCAGTCCAGGTTCCCTGTCCCCAGAGCTTTCCCGGAGCATTTTCCCCGTCCCCACGGACTCGGGGGGTATCGGGTCCGTGCCATCCCCATCCCGGTGGGATCTGATCCATCTCCCGGAGCCGATTCCCGTCCCCGGGCGCTGCGGGGGCCCCGGGGGTTTGTCCCCCGCTGATCCCGGGGTGTCCCCCGCTGATCCCGGGGTGTCCCCCGCTGATCCTGGGGTGTCCCCCGCTGACCCTGGGGTGTCCCCCGCTGATCCGGGGTGTCCCCGCTGATCCCGGGGTGTCCCCGCTGATCCCGGGGTGTCCCCGCTGATCCCGGGGTGTCCCCCGCTGATCCCGGGGTGTCCCCCGCTGATCCCGGGGTGTCCCCTCTGATCCTGGAGTGTCCCCCGCTGATCCCGGGTGTCCCCCGCTGATCCCGGGGTGTC